TGCTGTGGATGTTCCAACGAAATATTTGTATTAAACATCTATCAATCTCTAGAAAAGAGTAGAGACAAGAATGTGATGTAATTAAAGTGTTATAACAGGGATTTTTTAATGTAATTACAATCTGTCAATATCTAAATAAGTCGAGACTTGATCGTGCGTACACCTGAAAGTAAACTACGGAATTATTTAGTCTCTTTGATTCCTATGAGCTTATGTGCGCAAACCACTCGATTTTTAGTTAGAGTTGAATTGGCTGTGAAACAATCGCACAACTGTTGTGCGATATTTTAGTAAAACGTGTGCGCCAGCTCTTGTTTGTCTTTTTGACGTGATCGAAATACATAAGTAGACGTTCTTAACACAATATCAATTACAGGAAACTCATACTAAATTGATACGTCACACAATTTGTTGAGTAGTGCAAAATAATGGTCATATGAAATGCTAACATGGAATGTTTAACACTTCAGCGTGCTAATAAGTCAGTCAGTCTCAGGTTTTACTCAATTCTATATTACTGGAGAACATATATTTTAAATTTCATTATACAGCAAGCAGTGATAGGTCATTGGCTAGATATAACGTTGCTTTTGTTACTAATTTAAACCGGAAAATTTTCTTTTTTATATCACGTTATAGTAATAGATAAAAAGAACGCCGAATTTCAATAGTTGCTGCATCATATTAGCAGCGCAAAGGTTTTCGACGCCTCTCTACTATTTTCATCATCATTAACAGCCTTAGGTCGTCCACTGCTGAACGTAGGCCTCTACTCTACTATTAACACCGATTAAATTCCCAATTTGAAAATGTTATACAGATTAAGACAGAGTATTGACTGGGAAGGTAGTTGATGAACGCGGGAGTGTTTTGGATAACCAATTTTTTTTATTACACGCTTAGTTTGCGGGCAGCTCGTTTAAAATAAAATTCGAATCACGTGTGTTTCGTCATGACTAGCGTGATTTTCCTTTACCAACTTATCATATGCTATCATTGTTCCAATAGAAATAATTGCGTCACATTGTGTAGTGGGCGTGTTTTGTGCTTGCTTTAGTCTGACTCATCAGATAAATCATTGTAATCTTCAGTCAACGAAGGATTTGAAAGAAAATTTTAGCTAAACAAACTAACTTCAACGACACATGTTATACTAACAGTGGTATTTCACTGCTTAAACACGTGTACAAAATAGTATTGTCATCACTCTCAATCTCTATTAAAAGACTGAGATAACAAAATGTTTTTGTATAAGTATTTCGAATTTGGAAACTCATTGTCGGATGGAAGCCGATCATAGGATGGTATCGCACGACGTAATAAGTGACTTGGTACTGTTTACCTCTTTACACGGTTACAAATTACATAAGGAAATCATGTAGACTGCGCCATCTACAATTTGGTGTTAAAACGTACTTCGAATTTTAACACAATCGGCTATGTTCATTGTTCCTGTTATCGTGAACAATAAGTAGGTAATTGCCCAAATTGCTTGAAATTAACAGTCCGTCGTTTATCACAGTAATAGTTACCAACTGCTAAGGGCTAAGGAGACCCTTAACGTAGATAGAGAGGAGGAAAATAAATAAAACCTACTTGACTATCCAAATTGCAACAAAGTAAAGCGCAAAATATTATAACGCATACACAGTATGATGTTAAAATATACCTAATCCTAAAGAGGAATTCAGTAAGTAAACGTTTGCGAATTCGTCGTCAGAAGGAACAAAAAGAATCGAAAATGTAATATAAGTATAAAATTTTTCCAATAAGATCTTATTTATAATATCTTCTCATTATCGTCCGATGGCGACGTCCGTATGGATAATCTTTTATAGTATTGTCTATGTTATTGACGTCATAACCTAACTCGTATCCCAAGGCGCGCTTAAGGTCACCTGTTTGATAGAATCTGGGAGTGAGGGGGCCTTGGCCTGGCCGGGATCCGATGAATGGGAGAGGATCGATGGCGCCGGCGACTCTATGTCTGTCAGACTACTGACGTCACGAGAGAAAGTACGTAAAATACTATATCATTGTTCCTTACTTAATATCGCAGTGAGGTTTCTTAATAAAATAGGTACAATTCTTCCAATGAAGAACCTATCCACATAGGTAAAGAAATATGAAACTACATAAGTGTAAAGAATCGAATTACAAAACCTGAACTAGTTAAATTGTTTTGATAATAGTTAGTTGCCTTTTTAATTTTCTTTACTCCCAAATCATCGATGTTGAATCATTACAGCCTACATTCATTGTCAAGGAATTTAGAACTTAATAGTAATGAAATAAAGTCGGATACTCTTGTCTCTAATTATGGCTGTAAACAACGACTCATACCATGCTATTTATAAAATGTAATTCGATAATTTTTCCATTAAGTATTTTGTAAAGGTAAAGAATAAATGTTGTAATGTCTCAGGTTCTAATTAACTGCTTCAGTAAGTACTTACAAATACAAATTAGACTGATTGATTCATTATCAAAGCAATATTATGTATCTGAAACCGTAACAAAATCACTATACTTAAAACTCTATTTTTTAAATGTATATTTTTATTAGTCCAGTGTTACTCATTTTGAAAAAGGAACTAGTCAATCATTTGTGTTTATGACGAAATTGACGATGTCCAAAAAAAAAACTATAAATTAAAATCGTTTAATGTTCTACGTACTTTTCTACGGAACTGTGTTGTACAAACAACACCTTTTTATAAAAAAGTTCGTAGATGTGTAGATAGGTTGGGTGTCTTATTTTGAATGAATCCGGTTAATTTTGTCAATCGCCACGACAAGGCACAAATCAAGCATTATTATGTTTAAAATAATAAAAAGGCGGCTCATGATTATAACCATGAATAGATATTATATTTATAAGGGCCAATTTGCCTTTAGTTATAGCGTTTTCATTGTGAATATTATGAATAAAATAAATTAATGCATTACCACAATAAATATTAGTTATGCACTATTTAGTTAAAAAGCACTTTAAGATCGCGCGCACACCTATGGACTAAACTATCGCACAACTGTTTAGTCGCGGTTAGATTCCTATGAGCTTATATTGAGGTGCGCACACTATTCGTTATTTCATTGTGCAACTAACCAGTTGAATTAGCTGCAAAACAATCGACAATCGCACAAAAGTTGTGCGAAGGTGTGCATCCGCTATAACGCATTGACCGCCGCTGATCGATATTATGAACGTCAAAGTAATTAATTATATGTTTCCCCAAAATATACATTACCACGCTGCTTTTTGTATACCAGTACTTTATTGTTTACTGTCTGTTATAGTCAACGTTCATCTGAATGATTCTATTGTGTTTTGTGATACGAACTATTTTTTTTATATAATCTGACAAATGAGCAAGCGGCCACCGAATTTCGTCAAAGTAGCGTAGCGACAGCTACTCCTAATCATCTACTTTTGCAATAGAGTTTTCTTCCTTGCTTCAATAGAGGAGGGTAAGAACACAAAGAAGATATTTTCCTTACCTATGTAATCTATCTACTACTAGGTTAATGAGATTGGTAATTAACAAAATTCTAAAATATTACACTCCAGGACACACCACCACCACCTACTCCCTTCGTCACACCAGAGTATGGGCGTCGCTATGATTAGGCTGGGTAGTGCATTCCGTTCGACTTCATGTCGACCCTATTTCCTAAGAACATACCTATAATCTGCATCATCACTTAGATAAACCCATCTCACTGGATGTCCGGATCCTAATTGCATACGGATTCCAAGAGTCATAAGGACAGTTGGCAATCTATAATTAGTTTATAGGATTGTCTAAGAGGATGAACAATGCTATTTTTCGTTGTCCCAGACAGTAGGAAGTTTTTACGGGGCCTACAATTTTTTTAATATTATGTCCTGAAGGTAAAAATTAGACTAACAAGTAAAATGTTAACCATTATAAAAAGGAGCTTTTTCATACAAGCCACGATATGAATAATTTCAATAGTTATAGACCATATAAGTTCTTGCTATATACGTAACCACGAAAATGAAATAATATAAATGACCTAGTTTTTGCTGAAATTATATACTCCTCTGTTATTTATGAAGATTGACTGCAAAAAATATAGCCATAGATATATAAACCTACAAGGATCTTACTTAAATATTATAATACTTATGGCACGTGAGTAAATAAAAAGCGTAAACTGTTATATGTGGTCTGTGCTTATAGCACTTTTTTGACATTGACAGAAGATCGCCTATTGTCTAAAAAAAATTTTGATTAATCATGCATATAAAATATCGAATAAAATTTGTCTGCATATAAATGTCGTACTTAATGTTTTACATGTTTGGGGCAGTTTTGATTTAGTTTGCATTAAAAATTATTTAAGAAGTCCAGAAGTCCTGATATAATTTTTAGCTATTTTCTGTAAGAATAATACAGTACTAACATATTATTTTATGCCTTAATAAAATATAAACTTACATCAGAAATCTATAAATGGTAAAAGGTACATGATAATCAGCAGTACAATATTTTGTTACTATAACATTACTCTATGCACTTTAAAGTCGTATTATTCTTTTATTACCTAAGGTTTTCCTTGGATTAGTTGAAGTTCCGATTATTACAAAATCCAAAATATTTTAATTATTTAAATGATTTGATAAATATATACTAGATTTTAGATGAATTTAATAAACATAAACCTAATCTTTATAATTGAATAGGTCATTGTTTGGAAATGACAGCTTTCGCTTAGTTCCGACTTTAAACAGGGCCATGAAGTCCTTGACAGTTAAATCTATCTCTATTGTTGGTTTGAATCCACACCACCGCTACCCACCACAACCATCAGCGCCAAAATGGCGATAATTAAATAGGCACAAAATACCTTGGTTTGTAGCCTATCCATTTATAGAGGTCGGTGGTGTCAAACATAGTCATTTATCAAACCGTGATTATAATCTATCACTTTGTTAAAACCACTTTTCATATGGCAATACATCAAACAAAATCATTACTTTACCAAACTCTATTGCTTTATACAACATGGCTTGTGGTGGTTATTGAAAGTTATAGTGTTATCTTCTTTAGCAACAAGTGTCAATCAATATTTTTGTCATATGACTTTGCATATCGGTTAATTTTATTTAAGAGATAATATTCCCTATGAGTTTTAATTGTGTGTGTTGACTTCATTTTTTTAAATAATTGCTAGGAGCAGGTGAGATGACATGCTTGTCAATAATCAGTGAAAAGATGAATGAATGAATTATTACTGGGATTTTGGTATTCCTCAACAATGAGCGGATATTTTTTCTCTTGGTAAATATACAACACCTTGACGTAAACTGTTCTTTAGATCATTTTCATTTTTTATTCAGATCCATATCGAACAGTATCACTTCAGGTCATATCTACTCGAAATAGATGCTACACACTTTTTTGATTTAAATGTTAAAATTAAACATTTCCCAAACCTCTCAACATATTTTAAATGTATATATAAACAAAACATAAATATATATTGCGTTAATACAGTATTCACAAGCATTTGTTAAAAGTATTGATTTTCGCAATCTTGTTGTGTGGGTGACCTTTTACTTAAAGCTATTGCAGTTTATACAGTTTTAAACAAGTAATGTTGCACTCTTATGATTCAAGGACCTATGGCTTAGATATATTTTTGCAATATATGTAATAAGAACAGCATTTAGCATGGAATGATACACACCTACTTAGACTATATAATATACATATACATTCGTTAAATTTAATGCAAATTAGTAAATATGTTGACAAAAACACCATCAGCAACAAAGATTCAAGATACATTATTTGGTTGTCCATTAGTGAATAGCAAATTTTACTATTGAAACAAATTACAAATAATTATAAAAATACAACATAATTCTCTGTCATATCACTTGTATAAAAACTCTGTGGTAACAGATGACGGATGAGAGAGTTATATGGAGGATAAAAACCTGTTGCTCCAACCCTACCCGAGTATGATAAGGAAGAACATTATCACTTGTACAAAAAGTTAATTTTATTGTTATCTTAGTCAATCAAAGGGGAGTGAGAGGGATGACAATATGTTCTTATAGCAATGTTTCAGCAATAGATACATTTTAATAAGTGCAATCATATTAGTGTAAATTAAATACTCTATGTTTGTCGCTCATGTTTGAGTTTTGTAACTAGCTTGTATAGGGTTGTAACTGGAGATGATTTGCCGCTATCTACTTCAGCGCTCTTACACATTTCTTTGACTTTGTCAGACTAATGTTTTGGTGAGCGGCGGTATGATCTTTCTATAATATATCCCACAAAAATAAGTTTCTCTAATGCATTCATTAACTCAGTATTAGTATCGGAGAGCTAGAGGTGCTTTTACGAGTAGCACATTAAACAATTTGTGCAAGTACAGTTGTACACAGTTAAAGCAGTTGAATTCTCTGATTTTTTGATAATTAGGAAGAGGAAAACAGAAGAAAGTAAGTGAAAGAGGATATGCTTAAGAAAGGAGTGGTTTCAGATATGACGGCTGATAGAGATGTATGGAAGAGCAGCACATACTGTGCCGATGCTCCATAAGGGATAAGGGCAAGTTGATGATGAGTATTCAATACACATAGCGTGTGGAAACCTATATTTTGCTGACTGAAATGAAACTATCCTGCTTTTGAGATATTTGTTACTTTAGTAACTTCTAGTATTGATTTAATATGTGTTGATTTGCAAGCATCAAGTAATTTGATTTGTGTAATTTGACTACTTATAAAAACAGTAGAACCTCAATAAGTTAAAGTCCAAGGGAAACAAAACATTTTAAGTTATAGGGGTTTTAAGTTATCAAGGGTCAATGTTGTAGAGGTTTTGGGCTCTGATGGGAAGGGAATATACTATTTTTTAAAGTTATAGGTGTTTTTAATTTACCGAGGTTTGAGTTATCAAGGTTGTACTAGTGTTGGCTGTTTTATTAATAGCCATTGGTATGTTTTCATTAATAAGACACTTAAAACACTTCAATCAGTTAGTCTAGTGGAAACATTTAAATACACTGATTTCTAATTTTGTTCAAAACATTAATAGCACTCTAATTAGAGATTTCTAAGTAGACAGATAAGCTTGTTGTGAGGTTATTATCTAAATGAACTACCACAAATTAATGCAACTGACATATATTAATCAGAAGAACTACATCATAAGTCCTCACACAATTTTAATATGTGTCACAATCATGTTAATTCTTATTAGAATCAAATATACTTGATCAAGCATTTTACTATGAAATTGTACAATTTTCACCTTGGAAATGTCTATTGATTCAGTATAACTCTTGCATAAATGAAATTAGGGATGAGAGTAAATAGAAATTTAATATAAATGTCTTTAAAAATATAATAATGGACTTACCTTTTTCGCTATAAAAATAATTGAAACTGCAGTGCCATCAACGGTCGGCAATATATCTATGGTAGTTTTATATTCATGACATGAAGTTACCAGTAAAACAAATATCTTTATAAAATGATTGAAATCAAAATCTTTAACATTTTTAATCCGATCAGAGTGGTATATGACCTGAAGTGATTTTACATACATCATTGGTATACAGAGGTATATAATCAATTCTAATTCATTCATTTTCAACTAGTCTAGACAAAAGCTCATTGTTAATAAAAAATTTTATCTTTTATTTATCATGCATCTATTTTGGATAGTCTGTGTAAGGTTAAGTCTATGCATTCAGTATAAAATGCTTTTTAGATTCATAAAATCATCTGATTTATTTTGAGAGTAGTTTGAGCGTTCTATGGGTAGTATCATTCTAGAATCATTGCATGCCGGTATACTATTACAATGGAGGTATTGTTATATGTAGCAGTTTTTATACATTGTTTTGATGTCTATGGCTATGGTTATAATAATAATAATACAATTGCAATACACTATTTCTATCTCTCATTTTCCAACCAGAATTAGAGGGATGGCAATAATGTAATTAAACAGATAGTAAATGGCCGGACCACATCCATTATTTTAAACTGAATATTAAATTAAATTCTTCTAAATGTATATCTTATTTTTTCCTATTAACTTGGATTACTATAAGTAATGGTGCATACTTATTATATCTTAAAATTATATGTAATATTCCAATAATGAAATTAATTTAATCTAAATATTGTTATATATGTTCTTTTTATACTTACTAACAAATAGTAACAATTTAAAAGTATACTGGGCTACCATATGACAAAATAATAAAACATTAGTAGCCTTTTGCCACATTTAATTGGTTCTTTTAATTTATGTTGTATCAAGCCTTTCCTAATAAGCTTGTTATTAGGGACAAAAATTATTGTCATTATAAAAAAAAACATATCTAGTTTGGGACTTCATGGTTATTCACAATTTACCTCAGGAATGTCAATGTTACTAAAGAAAAAATAATTAATAAGTCATTTTGGTGGAATTCCATATTTTTCCTACAATTGGGGGCATTTTACCTGATTTTTATAATTTTTATGTGTGTTAATAATTGGGATTTTTGTTTTATATCTTAAGAATGGTATATGGAAATTTTTTTGTCTTGATTAAAGTCATTTTTATTCATTATATGGAAATGTCTTCAGAATTTGAATAATAATGAGGAGTACAATATGAAGGAGATGGTAGGAGGTTGCTGTGTGTGCTCGGACGAGCGAGGTTGGCCCGACAACCCGCTGGTCTACTGTGATGGCAATGGATGCACTGTTGCAGTACATCAAGGTAGAGTATAACCTCTAAATCTATAAACTCTAAAGTGTGAAAAATCACACTGCACTATATTTAGTATTAGTTGTGAAAGCAACTTTGTAAGTGTGGAATTGATAAAAAAATTGCTTATGTTACTCCTCCATTAGCTACCTTCTAATTAACCCTTCAATATTGATGCATCCATTTCGGAGATAACCTGAAACAAACATGGACTTACGAACACAAGGATAGTCAATAAATATAACAATTGATTCTTCATCTAATATTAATACATAATGTAATTTTGTTTTGTGCTAATTATTTTATTTTCAATCTTACAGCATGTTATGGGATAGTGACTGTACCAACTGGCCCATGGTTCTGCAGAAAATGTGAGAGCCCCGAATTCAAAGGAAAAGTAGTAAGTATTTCTGATTTCATCTAATTTTTTGTCAAAGAGTAATTTCTCACTTTAATAAGAATGTATATTGTGTTTTTTCATGTTTTTATTTTGTGGTAATTTTTAAAGCAGTAGAAAACCGTTGTAGAAAACCGTTCAATAACATTTATGTTGTTTGTGTTTCAGCGATGTGAATTGTGCCCTTCAAAGTCTGGTGCTCTCAAACGCACTGATACAGGGGGATGGGCCCACGTGGTCTGCGCTCTATATATACCTGAAGTCAGGTTTGGGAATGTTACATCAATGGAGCCCATTGTATTACGACTTATACCACCAGAGAGATACAGCAAGGTAATGGAATCTTCATAAATTCTGTTTTATATAAATAAGGTTTTTCTATTGTGATTTATATGATATTTTGGTTTCCAGGTATGCTATATTTGCCAAGATTCTGGCAAATCGCACCGAGCTAATGCAGGTGCCTGCATGCAGTGCAATAAATCAGGTAAACCAATACTCACATTTAATGACTATTAAACATCCATTAAATTAATAAACAATTTGTCATAACTGATTAAAATTTAAATTCCTTTAAGGTTTAATTATTTATTTGTATATTATAAAAATTTATTTAGCATCATAACATACTAGCTTTCGCCTGCGATTGAGTTCGCGTGGAATTAAGGAAATTTAAAAGCAAGAAGCCTATGTTTACTTCCAGACTATGTTCTTCATCTGTGACAAATTTCATCGAGATCCGTTCATCATCATTATAATATTAATAAGATGTACTACTGCTTTTTACTATCTCTCTGTTTTTCTATTCCGTGGTTGGTACTTGAAGAGCATTATTATATTTTTACATGGATGTTTGTAATTTGACAGTCGTATATCTAGGTGATATAAAATAAATGATATATTACTATTTATTCTATTTATTTAATTATTAATCAGGATGCAAACAACAATTCCACGTGACTTGTGCTCAGAGCCTCGGCCTGTTGTGCGAGGAGGCCGGCAATTATCTGGACAATGTTAAATATTGCGGCTATTGCCAACATCATTATGGTAAACTGGTAAGTTTGTTATATGATGTTATCTTAAAAAATTGATATAATTTGTTCAAGTGCTTCTTGTATTATAATCTGATTTTTCCAAGTTTGTTCAGCTTCAATCAAATATTTTCACAATTCTTTATAAATGTAATTTGGCGTTCTTTGAAGTTATTCAACATTAAGTGTATTATGTAATATTTAAATAATTGGATGAGATAAAATTTAAGGGCAAGTTAATTAAGTTATTTGTACGGTGGCACCTGCGTAGTTAAAATATTGATTGTGCAGAAAAAAGGCGGTAACGTGAAGACCATCCCTCCTTACAAGCCGGTCCCGCATGAAAGTCATTCGAGCGACTCGAGTGAGAAAGAGGGCGGAGGGTCTCCTTTGGCTAGCGGCAGCGGAACACCAACACACCCAGCTAAAGCTAAAGGGGTATGTTCCTACGCGAGTCCATTTAGGTCCAATTGGTTTTAAATTGAATTACGTTTATATTTATAGCCGGTTTCCCAGCTACGTTTAACCATTCGTTTGTGTTAACTTACTTTACTCCGTTGATACAGGTCAACCAACACTAATGAATCGCTTATGTCAAAATAAGTGGAAACTTCAGAAACCGAACATAAATCGATTAACACATTTAATAATCAATTTAGACTACACTTGTTTGGAGCAAATATTTCTTTAAATGTCTGCAAAACTCAGAGTCGTGTAGTCGCACACTAAGCGGCTTTTTAAGTGGACATAGGACTGTGAGTTCGGTATTCATTTTAATCAAATTGCTCCGTTAAATTGTTCATACAGAATGTTCCTATTGGTTACATGATCCCAGCACTCGGGCTATATTCATATTTAGTCAAAATTAATTTTTCTATGAAATATTGTCTTTGATTCTTTTGGTATTGTCAGAATGGGATGGTCAGTGTCAAGAAATCGTACAACGTAGCCTAAAATTATAATTTATCTGAGGTTTTCTATCTAAAAAGGTGATAAGCAATAATATGCAGCCTTTTTTCCATGTTTAATAAAAATAGGTAGATCAATTTTGCTATCTATTGAACAGAATTTGATTAATAAATCACAAAGAACTGTGTTCGTATTTATTGATTTCACACCTTTATCGATAAAAAAGTAATTTACCTTCTTTCATGTTAATAAACAAATCTATGCATGTTATACTAAAAATATGTTTATGTTGCGACTTTAAATGATCTATGACTTTATTATTTTCAGTCGCGCAAGTCATCTCATAACAGCAGTGTACCAGGAAAGAATACACCGAACGCTTCAAAAACACCTACAAATTCGGGACAACAATTGGGTGAGTACAATATTTTTATTACCATTTCCTAATCCCTAAACTCTAACAAAAACGTGCTTGTTTCAAAGCGTGAGAGGGACGCTAATATGTTTTATATTGACAGTGAAAACTCACGTAACACAAGTACAATGTTGCAATTTTTATTAACTCCGTGTGTTTTAAAAATGTTTTAACGTGATTTGTTATTAAATATATCACTATCATTTAGTAGTAAATACTAACTTATTATTTCTCCTTATAACAATATTTTATTTGGAGTGGTTTTAACTATTTTCTGCAATTATAGTTGCTAAGAATAATATCTATATTCTCTTTGGTATCAGGATAGGTTAGAAGTGAGATTTTTAATTTAAAATGACCTTGAATTGTTTGTTGAGAATTTGACTAATTTTTTGTATCGTTTTTGTGCATCGTTGTTATCGACAGAGACCGGCTCGGAGCCGATGGAACAAGCTCCATCATCACGGAAACACAAGTCGGCTGACAAACGTGTGTGATCGATTAAATTACTTTCCTTGAATTTCAACTGTCGTAGCACATGCAGGAACCAAAGAGATACAAATATGTTATAGAGTGGACATTACGACGTATTTTTCTTTAAATATTTTAAGCTCTAACAGTCGTGGGTAACGCAACATCACGTCTTAGACAATGGAATAGTACCGATGGTATATATTTGAGAGTACAGTTTTGCTCGTAACGTCCCCTCTATAGATGTATATCTAAATATCTATGATGCAAACACTATTGTCATCTCTGTAGCTTTAAAGGTAAAGAGCGAGATGCCAACATTTCGTAACAAGTGCTACGATAGTAGAGACTCGCCGTTAGTTGTGTGTGCACATTTCATTTGTCAATAGAGATTTCTGTTTTTTTTTTTTGTTTATAAACATAGCATTTTATAATGCATATATAGCATGCCACAATTCGATCTCAATTCTCTATTTTTAGAAATCTGACGTGGTTTTATGTGGTTATAAATTATGGTTGAATTTGGGTTTTGTAGATGAAAATCTTTTTTATTCCTAAAAGCTATATGTGCGTGAGGGGATTGAGGTTTTTACAGACTTTATATATGTTCGAGTTCTAATTAGTCTTATAATTTAACTTTACAACATTTGAATTAGTAAACGATATTTGTGTTATTGTTACTTGCAAGAACAGTTTTGGTGTTGCTTTTTTAGATACACGTTAAGTCGAACCACACCTAAGTTTTTTTTTATTTTAGGTATTTATTATATTTTCACATTAAAATATTTCTATTTAACCTGCATTTATAAGTAGATTTAAATAAAAGCTTATGATTTTGAATGCATGCGACTTTAAAAGATTTTTTCAATGTATTAATATGGTTACTAATTTTCTAACATACAATATGACTCTATTTTAAAACAAAATAGACAAAAATAAAATAAAGCATAAATAAAATAACGAACATTCCATACGCATGAGTCAACATGTTCAAAAAGTATACTTTTTACCAAATAATGGTATAAAAACATATTTAAATATATAAAAACGGTTTAAACCACCTTTGAAAGATTAAATACGCAAAATAGACTCATCCCTGTATAGTTTATACTAACATTCTAACATTTTTTTTTGTGCATGGATGCTAGAAGCAGATTCCGGTCAGGAAGGGGATCATTCTTCAACGTCGCGGAAACACAAATCTACAGACAAACGTTTGTGTTATTTTTATCAGTCTTTGTGTGCACATTATTTTAGATTCAGCTTTTTATTCCAATTTGATGAGGTCTTTTTAGATACTGCATGTCTATAATGAAAAAAATATAAAAAAATTAATCTTTCAAGGAGTAATTTTTTGTATTCAATCGCTTTTTTAGTTATCTATGTTTACTTTGTATTTTATTATTAAATTCATTATATTTATTACTCTCCACATGAATTTTTACAACCTTAAACCCTTAACAGTTATGTTAAGTCAGATTTTCCATCTTAAAAGAATTAAAAGGCGTTTAAAAGATCAGTACTTTTTGAAGTTACTAGCGCTATCTATGCTTAGTGGTTAAACGATATTGGGCAACTGCGCTGTCTCGTGTAGCTGTTTTATTTTTACAGATATAAAATAGATGTCGCTGTTTATTATACTCTCATTTTTATTTTTATACATAAGTAGGAATTGCCTTTAATTTATTTATAATATTTATAACTTATATGTAATGTCGGTTTTACCTAGTTATTTTATTTCAGCTTTCAAGTATGTAAGTTATTTTATACGGTGATTGTTAAGGGTGAATAATGAGATATGATTTTTTGTATCAATGTTAGACGCGGATTCCGGTCATGAAGGGGAACAGACGTCTTCGCGGAAACACAAATCGGGAGATAAACGTTTGTGCTCGAATGATTTAATGTTTTAGTATGTGTGTGTGTGTGTGTTTGTGTGTATTATTGTCGGTAGGCGTAGGTAGTATTTGATTATTATGTTTTGTAGTTACGTGGGTATTTATATTAGGTTTTTATATATCAGAGATTTTTGAAGCATGTGAGTTATTCTTTACACTGTGTCTTTATCAAGATTTGATTCTGTATTAGGTAGAGGTGTTTTATATTTTTATATATGTATCAGATTTTTATTCATCTGAAAAGACAAAAGGTATTGGAACATTTAAAGCTATTAGCGCCATCTATGTCCAAAAGTTAACAGATTCAATCTTGGCAAATATGCCGCCTCGTGTAGCTGTTTCATTTACAAAGAAATGCCATAGATTTTAAGTAATGTACTAAAACCTTTTTCTTCTTTAAATAAAGTAGAAATAGCCTTTAATTTTTTCATAATATTTATTTATATGTAAATTATAGGTGGTCTGCTTAGTTTTTTTAGTTTATACACTTTTATCTGATCCGGTAGGCGTAATTCAAACTAAATTATAATATCTCACTAACGGCCTCTTGTCGCAAGTGTCACAATATCCTTATTGTACTATAGTTGTCTTGTCATAGGTTTTTTGTTATTTTTTTGACTATGTAGGTTTTACGTATTTTGTGACAGAACTAGCTGCGATGGCAACCTCTTACCGGCCCAGATAAGCATGTTGCACGATACAAGAACATGTTTTATTGTATACAGGGTTATATATTATTCATGATTAATTAGATATGATTTTTTGTATCAATGTTAGACGCGGATTCCGGCCATGAAGGGGAACAGACGTCCTCGCGGAAACACAAATCGGGAGATAAACGTTCGTGTTTGAATGTTTTGATATATGGCTGTGTGTTTGTGTGTGTTTGTCTGTATTATTGTCGGTAGTATTTTTTAAAATTTTATTATATTAATTTCTTTTCACTTGGGTGTTTTTCTTGTACGATTAAATTATTGTTTAACGTAGATTTTTTTAAAGCACGCGAGTTTTTTTCACTGTTTAGTTGTTATGGAGACTGGATTCGGTTTTAAGTAGTTTTTTTTTGTGAGGTTTTATACTAGTTGTTTCCAACGACTTCTTCTGCGTGAAGTAGTTTGCGTCTATATTTTAGAATATATTCTTGTTATTTCATTATTTTTTGACGTGAACCTAATTAGCTTATTCGTAAATATATGGTAATGGTTTTTTTTTTAAATTTGGAGTAGAATATTAAAAAATTGTGTGTTCTTAATATAAGGCATGATGACTTGTACTACGGTTGGCATAACTTTTATAAAAATGTGTCTATACGATATTACAGAGTGTCATTTATAACTGTTCTAATTTTCATCCAGATCCGTTAAATCGTTCTGCAGTTATGTGGTAACAAACATCTGTACATTCATCCAAACTGTCGCCGTTATTTAGTAAAATTGTAATCGACTAATCCGTTGACGTTTTTGTATATTAATATTAGAAGCGGATTCCGGCCATGAAGGGGAACAACCGACGTCGTCGCGGAAACACAAATCGGGAGACAAACGTTTGTGCTCCAAAGTTTATTCTGGTTTTATGTGTGTGATTGTATGCATAGATTTCTCGGTTGAATTTACTTTTTACGGTTTTCTTTTTAGGATCTATGTATTTATTTTCTATACAAGAATTATGTTTATTTCGCATTTCAATTTTGTAAAGCATGTTACAATTTTTTCGTCAATAAAAATTTCTATATCAACTCGGTTATCAAACATTTTGAACCTTGGTAACTACTTGTTTACTTTATTACTTTTACTTTAAAATAACGAATTTTATATAAATACACGTTATTTCATAAATCAATTTATCTATCCTGCTCGAAGGACCATTGCAGCAAAGTTGTTCTAAGTTTCTACTCGATTCTAGCTACAATTTTTTTTTGTCAAAGTTCACTCCACGCAGTATAACGACTGTTACACATCTCCAATTACTGTGAGAAATTTTACAAATATTTAACATTTAAGAGGGACTCAAAGTCTATGTCAAATTAACTAATGTTCATCATCATCTAAAGCATTACATGCACAACAATTTCTATTGTTATTTTTCTAATATTGACAATATTCTTATATTTATTTTCAAATGTCTAGTTATTGTATTAGGGTAATAATGAATTTTACGTTTGCTTAATTGTTATTATTGAGTCAATATGTTATTTTATAATGTTTTTGTTAATGAAATGTTATTACGCTACATAATTTATTTGCATAATCTAATATATTCAGTATATGGCTTTCGTGCAGCCTTGATAGCGTTTGTTTCAATTTAGCTTTGAATGTTTTTTTTATATCAAATTAATTTTTTGAAAATTTCCCGCGTGTAAAAAGCTAGTGATACTATAATGTCGATAATAATAGGTGGAAAATCCCATAAATCGGTAGACAAAAAGAAACCATCGCCTTCACGTCGTGGATCGTCCACCGGGGACACGGCTGGTAGTGGTAGCAAAAACAGCACCCCAGCGCCCTCTCCGCAACACACTGCTCCAGAACAAACATCCACGCCACCTGCCAAAGGTAACATCCAAAATAAAGTTAAGAATACCATCAAAGTTACTAGACTTTTCTGGCCTAAACCCACCATTATAAAATTTCGCACACATGCTGTCAGGGGTTTTGTAAATAAATTAGAACATCGTTTTTAATTTATATAAAATAAATATTTCTTACTTCATGATAATGTTAGCATGCGCAAAGGAATTAGTATTAAAAAATGTTCTCCTACTTTAAAGTTCTCCAACGGGGTTGCGAATCTGTCTCGAAAGGACCAACTTATTTATCTTTACATCTATACCTTCGAACGTTTATTTAAATAATAATATTTTTTTGGTTTGCTCTTGTATAGTGTCGCCGGCACCTAATACAGCTCCAATCATACCAATCAACACTGCGAAGATACCTCTACCGGCGTCCCCGCCGACGGTCAAGACCTCAGAGCCCGTAGGCCTTGTCAATTCTGTCGCCCCTACATCGACTGTATCATCTACTACAGTAACTACTGCTATAAAGTATGTACATTTTGTTTCAATTGATCATCAAATATTTAGATTTTACCGTAGAGTTTATAGGATTTATGGCAGTCCATTATGTGGACTACAAATTAGTTGATTGATAAACTTATTAGTGACGAGGTATATGTATTGTATAGTTTTGTAAAGAGATAGATATATATTTAGAGACATACCATATAGAATGTCTCTAGGTTTGACCTCGTAACATCAGATCATCTTAGCAAAAAAAATAGATTACCATAACAATGCCTTGTTTGGTACTGAGATATTTTTAAAACATACAAAGAGAATTCGTCTTTTGCAGTAACACGCCAGTGTGTCTTTCAATGGTCCCCTTGCCTCCATCGAAAGGGCCGTATGTAGACAGTATAATTACCAACATGGATGTAGAAACTAAACAAACAAAGAAGAGGAAGGCTCTTTCTGCGGCCAGTACACCGACCAGGCCAGTTGATTATGCAGCTACACCGCCGCATTCCGCGGTATGTATTACATTTTGGATTACATAACACACCCTTTAACATTAACATTGAACACAGATAATTAATAATAGAAGAGGCATGAACAAAAAATTTTCATTGCTACTTTCTTTGAGAGGTACTATATTTTGTCTAGTTTAATTGTGTGTTCACAAGTAATAAAACATTAAAAAATGTATTTCTTCTCTAATTGTAAAAAGATCCATCTTTTGTTATAAAAAGTGTTACAAAATAACATATATTATTTAATGACATCTATTGGAAAATAATTTATATACAATTATGTGGTTTTGAGGATTGATAGATAGCGTTGGTGAGATTATGTGAAAAATGTTTTTTTTTTTTATAACATAAGGTGGCAAACGAGCAAGCGGCCACCTGAAACCGCCAAAATGGCGAAGCGACCGCTGCCCATAGACATCCGCAATTGCAGATGCGTTGCCTACCCTTATACGACGGAGGAGGAGACGCACATAAAGAGGATATTTCCCCTTCCTATGCATCTCCTCCACCGTCAAATCCACTTCCTCTTCCCAACCTATCCTTATAAGAAAAGGGTGGCAAAGAGAAAGGGACTTAAATTAGGCCTCCGGCACCACACTCATCAGACGAAACACGGAATTGCTTCCATTTCACGCCTATGTTCTGTGTGGTCGTGGTATTACACCGGGCGTGCCGGCCCATTCGTGCTAAGATGTTAAAACGGGCACTACCACTGTTATGTTTAAAATGAAGTATCAACTATGCGTCCTATATTTTTTGAATGTCTTTGACATTAAAGAGCTTTTTTAAGAAATATGTTCATTATATTAAAACTTATAAATTTGTTGTTAAGGTGGATTTATCAATGTGTTTCCATTTTGTCTTCCAGCCCACTGATATGAGTGCTCCGAACAGTACTCCAATCTGGGAGGCTGCTCATCCTCCGAATGATGTGCCGATGGATCCTGTTGACAAGGTCATCAAAAAGGTCAGAACCATAAACTTCGTCGTAATAGAATTTAAATTTATCATTAATGGATTAACAGCATTAATGGGTTCATAAATTAATGGATTTGTTCCATCACTAATCGCCACTGGATCTGAACACAAGTTTACTACTTTATTAGGGTAGTAAAAAGTTGTTTGACGTATACTTACTGTCAAAATTGTTTAACCCTTATATGCATGATAATGCATTTAAGCATCAGTCTTTTCTTTCTTACGCAATAGATTATTTAGAAAAATCATTTTTTCCTGTAATCTATATTCAATTTACTACCCGTTTCAATTTATGGTATTTAAAACGAAAAAATCGTGGATTTAAGGGTCAAATAATAGCTGTACTGTTTTTGCATGAAATTAGCATAAAAACGCAATTTACTATCTCTAGTTCTTAATTATGGCTTGGGTTATAGAAAAGGGATACGCTAATGCTCAACTAATGCCATTCTATGATCGCCACTAAATATTTATTGGGATAATGGTTTTCATTATGAATTGTGGGCTGTCGCATACATGTGCATCTTAGCTTACAAATACAGGCAAAGACTGAGGAACCTCCGCCAGTGTCTCACTTCCCGAACTTGAGCCCCGCGCCCCCGCCCCCGCCGCCGCCGCCCCCCGCTCACAGCCCTGTTCTGATGCCCAGCCCAAGGTATGCAGAATGTCCTAATATTTTTAATTAGCACAATCTAGTCAAAAAGGAAGTTGATGCTTTCCGTTTTTCTATACTTAATATGAAGATGAAAGATTTGTATTTTTGTTTTTTTTTTTATGTATTGGAATAACTCAAAAATTCCTTCACCGTCAAAAAGCTACGTTATTACTGAGTAACAGTTTATACAATTTTTTTTATTTTAGGCGAACTCACGAGCACCGGCCAGTCTTTTTTAACTCTAATTTTTTTTTTATATTTGATTTTAAAAAGTGTACTTTTTGACCTAGAGTGTACAATGTTATCAGACCTTGTTATTTTATTAATTATTCGTGTTTATTTTTCTGTTATAAATTACTATTAACATATAGATGTGCTTCATAGATGAGTTTTTTCAGACATCTTCCCAGTCCTAAGCCAGGACCTAGCGGAATAAATAGCGTTACAAATATGAGATCCCCGTCACATTTGCAGGTTGGTATGGCTTGTCTTGTGCCCTTTTTGTGTAAAACACGCCTTCGCTAAGTTTCCGAAATATATGTCAATATGTTGATGAACATAGATATCTGACGCAATTATGACAGCTTACAAGCGCCCCCTGCCGACAACAAATGTCATAAGGTTCTCTTGTACCATAATGTTTTTTCTTTTTTCATTTTCTATGCCTATGAAGGTTTTAAATATGTACAGTAACCACAATAACAGCATCTCTTAACAGCTCAGATTTCCTTGTTCAAATAATATTTCGGAAACCAAGGGGTAGTGTTTTAAAAACAATTTTATCTTAATTTTCGAATGTCACTTATGTGTAATAATTTATGTCATGCTTAAAGCTTTGGAAGTTAATACACAACCATGTTAGCCTTTACATTACTATGCTTGAGCTAGATTACTGTAGAAATTCATGAGTAATTAGATTTCATTGTTTTGCTTTTATACATTCTTATTTAAGTATGTGGAAAATACGTGATTTGTTTTACTTTACTCAGAAGGCGCTAGAATATTGTAATTTCTAAGCACTACATTTTTTTTACGCAAAATATAATTTTACAAAATTATATTTGTAACTTTTTGTAACGTTTTTACCAACATTACATTTCACACTTTACGCTTTAAACTGTTTTTTGCATGACAATATGCTTTAACAACAGTATCCCAAAGTTTTGAATTCTTAAGACGATGTTTCTTTATTTTTATTAATATAAAATTAATAATGATAATAATTAAAAGTAAATATAACACGAGATCGCCAAGTACTTTAATGATCGGATATAATTTGTTTTAATTTATTGTATTTGTAATGCATTTGGAGTGGAATATAAATGTTTTTCTTGGCTTGGATTTTTTAATTAAGTAAATCTCCTATGATACTTTGATTGTCAAATTCCACACACTTGCAAGTCTTGGTTTACTTAACATTTAGTTGCTTGAATGTTCTGTTCTTTGCTTGGTTCAATCTTATCTCTTGGTTGTTTAATTCTTCATAACCAGCTTTCTTCCCAACTAAGGGGCTCGGAGTCTACTGTACGTAAGGATTGATTTGTTTAATTAATTATTGCTTTCGATGTGTAACATGAGCGTATGTTGGTGTTTGGACTAATCGCGTGGGTTGTGTAGGGCGCGAAGGCCGAGCGGGACATGGCCACGTCGCTGCTTGTGTCGGTGCCCTTGCCGTCTGCCAGCCAAGGTCTCAACCTCACCGCGCACTCACAGGTCCCAATATCGGTCGCACATACAACGCCATACCATGTACGCAATCTTATATTAATAAACCAGCTAAATGTAAATGTAATCAGCGTAATTTAATGGTTACTCAACCCTCTTAGTTTCATACTAAATCTATACAGATGGCTTTAAGGCTTTAGACCAATTGTCTCTAAATATGTCAGTAAAAGTTTTAAGCCTTATATATAAAGAAACATTAAATGTATGTAATAAATTTAAAACAAATTATCATATAATCCACGTGTAATGATTTAGTTAAATCATTATTCAATTACATTTCAGTATTACCTTTTGTTTGTATTTAAATAAAAAATAGTTCATAGTCATTTGTGCAGCCATTGCAGTTATAGGTATTTAGTAATTGTTCATTAAGTAATGTGTCACCACAATGTTACTGTCGGTTTCCACTGACTACACGTTTATACAAAACATTTTCTCATCATCTTTGTAAAACTGAAAGAACAATATAGTTTTTGTTAGATATTTCCTCAATGGAAACCTATATTATGTGTGAGATTCGATTTAAATTCTTTCAACCATTTCAATTTAAGCTCTAATATATTTGAATAATTTAGAATAATGTGATTTTGTAGTTTTAATGATAATGTTTATATTTACGATATCCGATGTAACTTAATTAGTAACTAATTTTTATATTTCCGCTGCCTTGGAAAGGAGTATCTGCTATCAGTAAGCATATTTGAAGTTATATTCGCTTTGCCTGTAATTATAAATAATATAACCAAACTTTGAAGCATGTGTGTTATATTCAATCAAAGCTTAGCTTTGCAATTTACTAAATATACAATTTATACACAAAAACTCTCCAAAAATTAAAAAGTATATATTATTAAAATAAATAATAAATGTTATTTTTACACTTAGATCCCACTATCCGAGATGCCTGGCCCTTCGCATGTATTCCATCAACCGCCAAAACAGGTAAGTTTAACATTTTATAGTCATACTATCATATACTAATGTTAGAAATGCATAAGTTTGGATGGATGGATGTTTGTTAGAGTTTGTAACATATATAGCTGAACGCATTTGATGAAATTTGGTATAGATGTAGAGAATAGTGTGGAAGAACACATCGGCTATTCACTTTCGCTTTTTTTTTAATTCCACGCGGACGGAGTAGCGGGCGAAAGCTAGTTGTAAATAAGTGAAATTAACATAGCTCCCTAGCGCCCACTTTTTAATTTTTTTGTAGCTCTTATAAATGTCAGAACTAATTGATAAAACCAAATTATATAACAATCAAATTCATAGATGAAATTAGTTGATTATCTTTTCAAAAATGTCAGCATTTAAATGTAAAATATATAACTGCACTATGTACAGATATGAACAAAATACTCGTATATACATGTGTACTGTTTTTGTATATTATGGAATAACTCAAAAACTACTGGGCCGATTACAAAAAATCTTTCACCGTTACAAAGCTATGTTATCGCTTAGTAACATAGGTGTATTTCGCGTGGTCGAAGTCTCGAGCAACAGCTAGTCGAATATACATTAAAAATAGTATAGGTGTATTCAGACTTATATCATAAACTTTGATAGTCTTATCGGTTAATCAAGCCACTAAATAAATACTATGGCGAATTAGGTGTTTATACAATGACTGTTAGAGTTATCTCACTTATAGATATGCCAACGTCCGATGTTTGTGTTTTACCACTATCTCACCAGGTAAGCGGAACTTCTCTATCTAATAATAATTGTAAACAAAGTCCCAGTGTCGTCGCTTATTGTGCGCGTTAATATGCAACTAATATTGATAACTAGCTTTCGCCCGTGAACTCTCTCTCCGTCCGCGTGGAATTAAAAAAATAAAACCAATCAGTCTATGTGTTTTTCCAGACTCTACACTTATGCCAAATATTATCGAAATTCGTTCAGCAGTTTAGGCTACAAACTCTAACAAACATCCATACATCTAAACTTACGCATTTATAATGTTAGTTTGACTAGTATAGTAAAACAAACATCCTTAAATCACAATTTTTAAAGTGACCGAGGTAGTTTATTAAAAAAGATTTTGTTAGTATACGACTTTTTAAACATGAAATACAAAATATTTTACAATATAACGAGGTTGGTTTTTGTTATTTTAACAAAAAAAAAGTGTAATTAAATATTTTGTTTGTATTGCGAACAGTACAATTGTACTGGTATTACCAGTTTCCTAGAAATAGCATTTTGGTGATAATAGAACCCTAGGGAAGTAAACGTTGCGATTTTGTACCTGCTTCCCATCCCCTGGCTACCTGCGTTGCGCCGGCGCATCCCATACATAAGCGCGCCATTCAGTTCGTTCGCAACAACGGTTTAGGCAACATCTGCTGCCGTTGCCCCATTCAATTATCGCATTTAAAAAAAAATTGCGACCAAAAAGTTAAGTTTTACATACATTAGTATGTAGCAATATTAAACGAATTGTGTTATAAAATTAAACGGTGCAAATCTTGATATTTTTCAAAAATGGTAAGTTCATATTACGTTAACATAATTGATATAGTTCGAACAGTGTCGCGCCCGCACACATTTAGCACATAATTTTGTACACAAATGTTACGCACGTGTTACAAATATGACCTAAATTAGTTGAAAAAAACTGACTCAGGTCAATCCTCTGTACGTAGATAATAAAGTGTACATTTATCAATGAATTGCAAACAATATTTGTTTTATATTTGAAGCGATTAGCATCGAATTATTTTTGCAGTTGTAAGTTAGTAAGTAGTTTTTAAGAAGTTAAAATTTTTTCATCTTCTTATTAACAGTCAACTGTAAATCATTAAAATGATATTCAATTGTTGTTCGAACAGATGTAAGAAACTAAGTTACGATTCCAGTCGTAGTTAGGGGAATATTTCCCCTAATATCTTACCCTTATTGATACAATTTGAATAAGAATAACCTATACAATATAGATTGTTTAATTTTTCGTACACATGTTTATGTAACTTAGATTAATTATTAGAAGTTAAAATTCTATAAATGTGATTAAAAATATGTCACAAATTCTTTGTAATTTCACGTTTAATATCTATATCTATACATATAATAAAATTTGAGTGTCTGTTTGTAATATCAAAAGAAAAATTCCAGATTTCGGGAAGACATGTATTTGCGTTGCTGATAACGAAGAGCGCATTTAATTTTTTTTATGTCTGTCTGTCTGTCTGTCGCGTTTGTTCTGGGTGATCTCCGAAACGGCTGGGCCGATTTCGACCGGACTTTCACTGGAGGGTAGCTGACATAGACCCACACATTATGGACTACTTTATATATGAATATTGCGTGGACAAAGTCGCAGGAAACAGCTAGTTTTTTTATAATTTTAATTGTGTAAACAAATGTTCGTTTCAGGCTGCTATGGACCCAGGTGTTCCCAGTCACTCGCCTCATGCTATACCTGGCAGAACAACTTGGGGCGGTCTCAACGTCTCTTACGAAATGCAGCAAGATATGAACAAACCTGGGTAAGATACTAATCGATAATTTTAATAATTCTTAAATTATATTAACACGTGAAACGAAAACTTGGTAGCACTTTTTAAAGAATACTTGTCAGCAGATCAACGTATAATTGACAGTATGTGTAAGACTTAAGCTATTTTGATTTCGTTCGAGTTACAATACATGGGGATCCCTAGTCTAACTAAAAATATAAGCGATCGTATATTTAATTTAGTACAATGAAGACCCATACTTAAATATAGCCGGTGTCGGCCCACATGTGGATCTTTAAACTCAAAGAAAAAAATTAGCAGTTGTCAAATTTGCTTGCGAATAATGTGTGCGACCCCTGTACAGTAAAATATCTAGAAATATATCCTACTAGGTATTTTACCATTAATGTCATTACATCCTTGCGTATGCATGCATTTTTCTATAATTTTTAATCTTTGGGCGAAGTTTATTTTTCGTTTGTGTGAATCTCTCGTCGTTTTATTAAAACCATCAATAGTAATATTGTGATTAAGTAATGAATAAGTAATTACATAATTTGTACATTAAAAATAAATGTTTTCGGATTAATGATTAACGATGAATGAATAAGTCAGGGAAATCATTATCCTTTTGACTTGCGCTTGCTAAAGCGATGGTTATACCACGAAATGCCTAGCTATTTAAATGTATTTTCCAATGTTGCGTAGAGATCCAAGCATTGTTACTTACCGAGTGTCCTAAATTTGACGATTTTAACTAAACTAAATTTAACTTTTAAGAATAACTTGTTTTGCTAATCGGAGGATAGATAACTATGCTATGCGTTGCTGAATTTATTACATCTATCAAGGAATCAAAATTTAAAAACTAATTAAACTACTTAAAAACTATAATATAAACTATTTAAAAACTAATTAAATACTTGATATGTTTTTTTTTGTACTAGTATATCAGGAAAAACGATTAATAATATCGGAATGAGTTGCTTTTGTTTCAACCGATACTTCTCGTGTTTGTAAATATGATAATGAAGTTCACTGTAACCCGTGTGCTTTGCCGACAAAATTCCTGGACCTCAGATGAAATCTACCTATAGGTAGATAGAAGACAATGTGCTGACTACAACAGTCTTTCAATTTTGTAGCTCATTCCTTACTGCGAAGCGTTATGTCAGATACATTTGTGTTGCAATTTATTTGTCGGACTTTAAAAATATTGGTTAAAATGATTTAGATAAAAAATATTATCATAATGTGTATTTGTAATTAAAACAGTTTGAATTTTATTTGAAATTTTAATAATATACAAATTACATTTTAATTTTAAGTCCATTGCATAAACTTGTGACGTAATTTCAAAATGGAAAAGAAAAAGAATAAGCTATCTGCGTAAGTGAAAAAGAAAACTTATTACCTCATTCATCAGACAATCAAATTATTTAAAATCAGTGACTGAGTTCGATTCTCAAGTAATATTTATACACTTTAGTTGTATTAATCTAGTGTCGTTAAGTTTGTCGCAAATGCATTTCTGCTCGGCAAAATATTTTGCGTTGATATTACTCGAGTTGCATTGCGATATTTTTATATACATATTCATCCCATTCGATCACCGTTTCATTCTTATCACTGTCTAAATTAACTTCTCGTCCCTTAAAATTTGGGTACGTTAATAATAATTCTATGCAAGTTAAGAGACGAGATAACATGTTAAAGATGCAGCAAAGATGCCTTTGCCACGTCGATTATTAATTCTTCACTAATCATACTTATACTACAAATGCGAAAGTTTAGATGGATGGATGTTTGTTAGAGTTTGTAGACTAAACTGCTATTTCTACGCCTATTTCGATGAAATTTGGTATAAATGTAGAGGATAGTCTGAAAGAACACATAGGCTACTCACTTTTGTTTTTTTTTATTCCACGCTGATAGAGTCGCGAGTGAAAGCTAGTTTGGAATAAAATTAAAGTGAACTTGCTAGGCGAACAGTTCCTATTAAATTTACATTAATGTCTATGATGGTTTCACAATGCCATTGAATTGGTACTGTCTCATTTATTATTTTTTGTTACAAACAATAACGAAAGATCTTTTCTTTGAATTTCAGTGTGAGCGGTGTGCCGGGGTCAAGTAAGGATCCAAACGCGGCAGCCATGAGCCCAATACCGGGGGCTATAAGGAACAAGAAACGCGCCGCGGTGTCCTCCACCCTCGTTTCCATGACTACAGTACCACCTCCAACTCCTATGCGTGAGTTTTAAATTATTAAACATCTTAAAATTTCTGTTGCCGTACTACTTGTATAATGCTGTTTGTTGTTTTTTCAAAAAATGAGACTGAAGGAATCTCTACTAAAGTTATAAAGAGGAAAGATTTGTGTTTTTGTATTGAAATAACTCAAAAGCTACTTTTATCACTCAACAACATTGGCTATTTTTTAATTTCACGCGGTTTGTCCACAAATTCATAAATCTATAATTTTAGTCTTATTTTTTTGTCACAAGACACAGTTAGTGTTTTATACAAGTGTTACGACACTAAATATCTATGGTTATATTCATATATAATTGGGGCTTTGAACATAGCATGAGATTATGGGCTGAATATAGTTTTTGTGTCCGTGGGACTTTAAAGGGAAGAGAAGACCTTGGGCCGCCAAAGATTGTGGACAAATTCATATCCATTCCATATTCGCCTCACATTTACTTAACCATCTCATAATTAAGATAAAAACAAACTAACTGACTGACCTGTTTCGCTACCGCTACTTCTGTCGAAAAATCGTACAACATCCATACAGTATAGTTGACACATAAACACAACAATAATGTACACAGCAAAATAATTTATTAAAATATGAAACATAAGGGCAAATTTTAAAAATCAAAAGTATAGATTTCAATTCCAAAAGGTCATCGGAATATTCTAAAGTTTTTTTTTTAAGTTCATTCGTAATTTTTTATTAGTTGCACTCAACAAGGAAAAAGAAAAGGGTTCTGTATCGCGTGCAACCAGAAATTAAATAAGCATATCTGAAAAGGTTTCGGCGAGTATTGTGTGCAATAAATATTTAGCTGCGTTTTACAAATGCCATCAAAATATCACAACGGTGTCTTGTTAATGTAATTTTGGGTCATCCGTTTATAATTGAATTTTTAATAAATTTGAGTTATTTTTTACTGTCCTTGCCTATAATTGGAAATTAAAAATACCTTAAAATGTTCAAATGCCGTCACTGAAAATACTTTTTCGTTCTTTTAAAGAACGCAATCTCTTGTCCAAACCGTCTGCTAACAATTTCAAATAAAAGTTAAATTCTCTCAATTTTACCTATTCTGTCTTTATGACAAACAACTCAAGAATATTTATTGTTCCGTAATGTGGGCTTGCGACGATTTTCCGTTTATTTGGGAAAAAAACAATATTACCTTCGCAGACTCGCCCTCGACACTTAACCTCGCGAACATGCGTAGGCCGCCTCAGTCTACACCGCCGCTAATGTACCAAGACATTAAAGATTCTCCGCCAAGTTCACCCAGTGAGTATAGCGAAATGCCTTATTTGCGATATAATGTTCGCCCTTAGGAAAATTAGTAATATAATTGGCTTAAGCTTTCTCTAAATTGTTATGCCTGGCAACGGACTTAATGGTACAGCTGTTATAGTTATAGGCGACAATTATATCCGTATCTCGATTCAGAAAAAGATTACAATTTTGTAGAGCGCCATCTCTGTCCCACAAATTAAACGATCTCACTCTGATCGTAAGGTTGTGACAGAGTAAGCGATACGAATATGAAATCTCTTTCCAAACCGAGGTGCGCAATATTTATTTCCGCCTACTATAATTGTATTTGATTTCCTTTAACTTTAGTTATTTTTTTTATTTATAGCTTTATATATCGAAACGTATAAAATAGGTAGTATGCATAAAAACCTAAGAGTAATTACACGTACATACACACATTCTAAAAGTGTAAACACGTTAAACATTTTTTGACATTTATATTAATTAATTAGGTGTTTTTGGACCGTATTTTGTTCTGGATATTTGTTCTTCAAAACATTACACTGCCTGGTTATTTTATCTATATCCAAGTAGTCAACCAACTGTGTAATTCCATCATTAAACATATAATAATAATAGAATACTAATTATAAAATGCCATTTTCCTCTTGTTATTCAATTATTTTCCTCAATCTTTTGACAAATACATTTAAAATGTACGTATATGTACTATTGTATTTTGTTTGTTTTGTGTGTTATTATTTTCAGTTCTGAATATTTCATTGTTAAAATAGACAATTGGAATCCAAATTATTTAACTGTGACTATTTTAAATGTTGATATTTTCAAGAATTTGACTTTAGTGACGAGTTATACCATTTTTATGCCGGTTTTATATTTGCTTGAATGAATCAAAATTGTTCTGCTATTTTAAGTAGTTAGTAATAGTAAATCGTGTTTGTGTAATCCAGTAGTGCAAATGTTGCTTAGTACAAATTTATTTTTTTGTTACCACGGAAACGAGAAGGTAAAATTTACTTCCACCAATCAGATGCAACAGTAATTACAATATATGACAATTTATATCAGCATTTACTGTTCACTTATCGATCGATCGATTCAGAAAAAGCAAATTCAGCTTATAGTTAAGCAAACAGTTTATAAGTGTATAATTTCTTACAGATTCGGATCGTCCGTTGAAGCCTAAAATGGAACATAAGTAAGTAACAAAGTTTTACATATTACCATTTCATTAGAACAGACTTTTTTAATTTCAGTCAATTGTATGGATGATGATTTATATGTTTTTTTATCATTTTATCTTTTAGACTGTTATACATACTGAAAAAGCATGGAACGTTTTGTAAACTCTAGCAATAAAGCGATGTTATGTAGTTTGTACAGTCGTCTTGGCGTGAACTGCCCCGCGCCTCATATGTTGGGTAACGAGCTGAATCCTGAGAGCGGAGCGGCAGCGCGCTTGCAGGAACAACTTAGTGCGGAGCTGGCCGCGCATGCGGCTGGCGGCATCGGTGTTGAGCCATTAGTTCCTCCACCACTCATCAACAGAGCTGCTTCGGTGAGCAAACTTGATCATCGTCATCATCATCAGCCTTTATCTGCACACTGTTGGACATTGGCGTTCCCCATTACCATTAGAATGCTGTCCTGGTAAACCATCGAGTGGTCACCTGAATTCGATAAAGCGAAGCGATCGCTGCCCATTTACATCCGCATTTTTTTATGTTAAGCTAACCCTTGACCACCTGAAGTAAATGATGATGCAGTCGAAAGATGGTACGCGCTACCTTAACAAGTAGCTGTTAATACCAGTTGCGTTACCCTTTATCAACGGAGGAGACACACATTAAGATAATATTTCCCCTTCTTATGCGTCTTCTCCAACGTGAAATCAACTTTGCCTTCCCATTTTACGAATAAGAAAATGGTGACGAAGGAAAGGGCTTAACATTAGGCTTTCGGTACAACACTCATCGGAGTGTATGCGGAATTCCTTCTACTTGACGCCTGTCTTCTGTGTGGTCGTGGTATTGCTGGGGACAAGCCGGCCCTGCATTGGGAACATATTAACGCGGGCTCTACTTGTTGCCTTCTGCAGCCAAGAGCTTCCCGCTGACCAAATTCTTCGGTCCACGTACTTGTATATCCTCAGTTTTAAATGACTTAATTGAACAGTAAGTGTTCAATGTTAGATTAGCGATATCGCTAATCGAATCTTTGTTTAGGGGGGCTGGCCTGGAGATGGCGCTGCGATCGCGGTAAGTCCTGTCATAAATTATACTTAGAAATATATAATAAGCAAAATACATTAAAATCTTTTCTACTAATCAGAATTACATGACATAAATGTAATAATGCGTAAGATTAAAAGTTTTTTTTAAATTGTAATAGGGTGTTAGCGGTTTAAGCGGTCGTGGGCCAACATCAAGTGCCCAAAGTCTGGATCAGTTGTTGGAAAGGCAATGGGAACAAGGCTCACAGTTCCTAATGGAACAGGCTCAACATTTTGACAGTAAGTGCCATTACATACATCCTCGACAGTAGTCAGGGTAAGTTGAATGTTAAAAACCATGTCGAAGTCAAACCTGAATACAAATGTATTGTTATCTCTGATTTTTCAATGATAATAAGGGAGATGGCAATATTATTCAGGTGGCAGTGGAAACAGCGACAATTTGATTATAAATGAACGAAAGAAGGGAAATTAAATGTCTCGTTAACGGATTGCATGGATATTCCTGCAAGAATTCAGTTGAGTTGCCTACGCTTTAGTGCTTGTAATGTATTATTTATTTTACCCCCTTCCAGATAAAAGATCCTTAGAACTAAAATAGTATTCCTTTTATGTTTAGATTTGATGTTACCCCTCGTATAACTGTAGCACGATTTTTATTTTTAATATCTTACCTCTAGCAGTTTCTATTAAATACATTGTCGAGTTAGCTTCGAAGTTGATTTGGTAAAGATCGATCGATCGATATAGGGTTAATATAGGATGTTGAATCTATTGGACATTTAATTAAAAATTCTAAAGATTTTTTACCATGTTCTTTTTTTTATTTTATCAATCGATAGGCGATTGTTTTTATTTCATTAATTTTCAATTCACTTGTTTTTTGTTAATGTTTTGTTGGAGAGTTTTACAGTTAAAAAGCGCGTTTATATAAAGTTGTTTTTTTCCTTAATTTTCTGTAACAGTAGCATCATTGCTGTCGTGCTTGCATCAGCTCCGAACGGAGAATGTCCGCCTTGAGGAGCATGTGGGCAGCCTGCTGCAAAGGCGGGACCATTTGCTGGCTGTTAATGCCAGACTTGCCATTCCTCTCACAGCTGGTATGTGAAAGAAAAAAAAAGATACTCTTATACATTTGGTCGCGTACATTTAATTTGTTCTTCCCGGGGTATAACTAAAGTATTCGATTGAACTTTATAAACTATTAAGACTATAACGTCTCTAGCAACGTAAATGAGGAGCGGACACGAAATATATGGTATATTACACTACGCGGAAAGTCGTCTTGTGTGAACAGTTTAGTTTAACGAAGCAATATCATCAACTAGATAGATGTTTTTATTACAAGGACATATGTCTTTGTTAGAGCGCGCGCGTAATTTTAACTACACTATCGCAGAAGTGTTTAGCCTCGTTTTGATTCCTATGAGCTTATATGGAGGTGTGCACACTACTGGATTTTTATTTATGCAACTAAACAGTTGAATTGGCTGCGAAATAATCAACAACAACACAACAGACGTGCGATAGTTTAGTCAAAGGTGTGCGCCTGCTCTTTGATGCTTAGAAAACTATCAGCATCGAATTCGTCGTTAAACAAACAGAAATCCGCTCAATTGGCGTTGATTTCATATCATTGGTGTGTGAGCAATTGGGCTCACACAATGCTACTATTTCATACAAGATAATAATATAACGACTTGGTAGTGATTCCGCTTCGCTTTCTAAATACTGTGCTAGGGGCGTAAGTTGTTTCAAAACGTAGTATTCCCATAAATGTATAATATAAGAATCATATTGGACGGCTTAACTAATTATGGGAACAAATAATTGAGAAATTAGTGCTAAATCTAATTTGAAATTATATAAAATACGCCTTTGTTCAATTTTTTAGTATCATGGTTTTAAGATACTATCACTACTAGAGGTCATATAGAATAATTTAGCAAAGCTTTACCCCTAGCTAGAGTATGAGAATGCAGAAGTCCATGTGCATGATCCTAAGCGCTTCTTTTAATCCAAACATTATCATTTCATGTGTAAATTAAACTGTTTATTTACAATGTAATACAGGTATAATGTTGCTAGCCTCAAGAATCCCCTTCAATTGCACTCGAGTTTTCCCACCGGGTTTCATTGGATTCAAGCCCACATAAACCTATCTGCCCCCCCTTAACTTTCGAAGAGACCAAAAAAGGCGTTTTGTGCAAATGATCCCAGTTTTTTTTCCATTTTATAGATCCAGTCTATACAATAAAACACTATGATTATTGCTGGCTACGTTTAGTTTTTTTAGATACTGGTTGATGTTGACAACCTTTGTAATATGTTACTAAAATGTATACAAACATACGAGTATAACGTAATCTCTATTTCTTTACTTTTTACTTACTTACTAGTATTATAAACGTAAAAATGTAGATGGATGAATGGATGTTTATTAGAGTTTGTAGCTTGAACGGCTGAACGGATGAAATTTATTTCTGTAGAGACTCGTCTGGAAGAACACATAGGCTACTTTTTTTTATTCTACGCGGTCGGGGACTCGGACGAAAGCTAGTACATAATATTTTTGTGTCGCTGCATGGAAACCCTGTGTAGATTTATATGTAAAAATGTAATGCAATGCTTTTACCACCTTGTTAAAGCGATAACGCGAGTTTATACAAAATGTTTGGTGTAATTTATGTGTTTGGGATAGATATATAATGTGTTTGTGCAGTGGCGGCAGGTCCCCCGGAGCCGAGTCGATGCATGCGGGATGTGTCTCAACTGCGAGCTACTCCCGGACCAGTACGACCCAATGAAACTATCACTTCGGAGCGTTCGCATCAGGTACTATTTAACAAATATAAAAATATATATAAATATGTTACCATGTTAAAATAGATATCCCACATTTTTTCTCACAGTCAGTCGTATTGTCAGATTGTTTTATTGCAGAAAATGATATAGAAAAAAGAACAAATATAATAATAGCTCTTTTCTCTCTTCTCTCCCTTTCTGTTTCTTATAATCCCTTTTTTCCATTGCTGGCAAATAATCCTATTTATTTAAATATTGTTACTTGTAGAAAACAATAATTTGAGCAATCAAAACTATTCATCGTATATTTGCACGAAGTATGAAATGTAAAATGGTTAACTGACTAGGAAAGTCACTTTATAATTCAAAACCTCGCCGACTAGCAATTTTCTTCGGCCCCTAGACTTATCACAACCATTATCCGATATAATATTCAAATCAAAATTAAAGGTTACTTTACAAAATGGTAATACAATGGTCGTTACTTATCTAACTGAATTTTATAAAACCTAAGCAATTTTAAACATACTTCGTAGTTGGTTACTTAAAATTTAAACCTATATGTTAACTTATTACAATTTTTTATTATCTGAATACATTTGCTATCGTCTCGTTCTACATACAAGATGATCGCTTTTAGAAAACTCTTGTAGTTTAGGCAGTTGTTTGTGTTACAGCATAATAATCATCGTACAATGGAGTCCTGCTGATTTTAATTCCGGATACTTCAGGTTTTTATTTAAATCCTTTTTTAATTTCCATTATTTTTATATCCTTTATCCATTTTTCTATTTATCCTTTGATATTATTGCGATATGTAAATAATAGGTGTTGATTTGACCATACTAAAGTGGGGATGTCTTGATTTGCCCATACTGAATTGGGGATATTTAGTTTTGACTATACTAAATTGGGGTTATCTTGATTTGATCATACTAAAGTGGGGATATCTTTATTTGACCATACTAAAGTAGGGATATCTTAATTTGACCATACTAGAGTGGGGGTATATTTGTAGCCCCTATCAGATAGACCACAGTCGTAAGGATGAAAGAAAGTTTGTAAGAGACGCGTTGAACTGAGTACTGAAATTGGCCTTTATCTCGTAGTGAACTGTACAATGAATATTCTGTTTCATTATGACATTTTGTAGCCAAAATGACTGGATTGATTTAGAATTGAGTGGATTAAATTTTTCATAAAAGTGTCAGGGATAGTTCCTACTTATGTAATACTACGTTTGCCCGCGACTCAGTCAGTGTGGAATTAAAATAAAAGTAAGTAGCCTGTGTTCTTCCATCTATGCTAAATTTCATCTAAACTCGTTCAGCAGATTAGGCAACAAACATCCATCCAAATTTTATTTTATTATATTCAAATATTAGTAATATCACACTACTGTACTCAGTCGATTAATGGATGAATTTACACGTTTTACTAAATTTATTTGACAATAAGGGCCGCAAATGAGGATTCAATCATCTTAATTCCAATATAGCAAATACCTTTAGTAAGGCTTATAGATTGCAATTGCAAATTCAATACCTACTTTTTAATCGGAACACGATATTTCGTCGTCCTTCGTTTCTCCTCCCAGGTTATCCATTCCCCCTTCTCGTCCATTACTGGTAAAAAATTGGGAAGGGAAAGATTAAATTGTCGTGTTCGTTTTGTAGCTGATAATGCGCGAGGTGCAGCAGCAAAAGCCCAGCTGAAACCAGGAGAGTGGCGGCGCCGCCGACCCTAATGCGCTGCGAAACGTACAGACGTACATATACTTAGAGCAGCGCCGCCGCCCTGATTTCTCCATCGATTCTATACTCAATTACGATAATTAAATTCACGTCTAGCGTTTACCATCAAAAATAATCGATGTTGAGAAAACTTTTACAACGCAATTGTGTTTGTGTAGTTTTTAATTAGTGTAATAATTTATTAGAATGTCAATCGTATCTTAAATATTAGGTACTGTTGATATTTTAATGTATGGTGATTTAAATCGCTGATAATCGTCAAATGTTAATTTGAAGATTATTAGCAATTTGCTCATTTATTTTATAAGATCGACATTTTATTTTAAAGTTGATAACATGGGTGTCGCCAGGGCATTGGCCCTCCCTTAGAGAATAGTAAAAAAATATTATAGATATGTAAATTACTTCGAAAATATGATGTTAAAGTCCTTATCCAAGTAGTTAATTCCAAAATTAATTATTTCTTTATCAATTCGGCCATATATAGATATGCAAACCCTTAGAAAAAAAATAACAATCCTCTCCCTTAGATGGCGACGCCCTTGGAATATAATAATCTAGTTCAAACATTGGACTTATAGTAAACCTACTGACCGGACAAACTCTCGGAATGACTAGACGAAACAATCGTCACAATAAACGGCCAACAACTAAACAATACAAAAGTATTAACAAACGAAATCTCTATTGCTTACAAATGCAAAACGGACAAAGTAAAATTGATGTTGCTAAAAACTTATAGCTCAAGTGAAGGACTTGTTAAATTTGCACATATACGCGTTCAGTAAAACAGCCATGAAGTGATTGTTGACACGATATTGTAACGTGTTAAAAAGATTGCTATAACAATGGACACAGTTATACGTGAATTTTAATGTTATAGTGAATAATTGGTGTATTAAATGTTTGCTTGAATGTTAGTTGATTATAAGATTTAATGGCCTCTATATGTTTACTATATATCATATTTACATTAAAACAATTACTGTATTGATGTTAATAGCCCCCAGATGTTGTTTTCTATAACATAAAGACGTGGGTTTACATTGTTAAAAATTAGAAAACTTCCTGATTTTTTGATTAAACCCGAGATAGAAACATGACTATGTACAGTGGAATCTCACGGTTACATATTTCTATACTTCTTATGTTTTGTAATTTTGTGTTTTTTTTTTAAATAATGACTTTGATGTATTAATATTACAATGTTATTCTATGTTGATTATTTCAATTCATTTGTTTATAACAATTTCTTGATTATTTGTATTATTCTTGATATGTTTTTAATCACTCTTGACCTTAGTAATTAATTCTATCTGTAAACATAATGTGTCGTCCATTTTCTCAATATTTAAAATTACATGTATGATCGTATATTAATGGAAGCCGTTCTTTAAACGGCATAGACTTTAAATTGGTGTTCTAATTTTTATTGTGTCCAATTGCTTGTAAATGTAGGTTTCTGTCGTGACGTATCTATTTATGGACGTTTTCGTCCCTGTCTTATTCGCCTGTCAAAATAGAGACAGCGATATCTGTCATACAAGTCACGGCAGAAGATTTCCACGGTAAGATCCACGTGTTGTGAGATTTCGTTTTTAGGTCTTGCTTTATCAAGATCTGCAAAATTCCACCTCTAACTTTGTTAGTAAAATACGAATATGTACTGAAATTCTTGTAGTTTTAAGATACTGCTATAAGCATTTTATGTCTATACGTAAAATTCATTCATTGAGTCTTTCGAATTTCGAACTATTTTGAATTTAAAATTTAATGAAACCCTTTCCAGTCGTTTAAAGACCCAGGGTTCGATTCCAAATGGTATGAGTATTTAGATAGCGTGGGATATATTTATCGTGATTGTAGGTATGCTTTTTAAGATGTAAGACTGAACATCCAAAATTTTAACAACTAAGTAATTATTGTAATTTTATTGTGACGTATTTTTAATTTTAATTACCATTGATAAATGATTATTTATGATTTCATTTGACTGTTAAAATGTTAACAGCTATGGTTCTCCACCTGTTACTCTGTCAATATATTTACGATAATGTTGATATATAATACGATGTGTTAAATGTTCCATAACTTTTATTGCTAATTGTACGTATGTTTGCTGTATTGATTAAAACGTCGCTTGAATGTTTCTTATGTCGGAAGACTATTTTATATTAGGTACATAGTTAGTAAATACCTGTAACGTTTCTATATATTATATTTACGACTAATTTTATTGAAGACGAAATACGATAACTTTCCGCTGTTCTAATAAATACACTAGTGAAATCCGTATATGTTTAAAAGCCAGTAATAACTTGCTGAATAGAAATATCGCGATTTATTTGTCGATAAAGTCCTGAGTACTTAACCGTTTGTAAAATTGTCATAAATGTATTATATTAGAAACTGAACCTTTATTGTTCAACTCTCAATGTAAACTTAATGTATAAATAAAATATATTAGTGTTGATTCCGATGTTAAAGCTCGGCGTAGATGAAATGTTTGTATAAATCACATTAACAACTAACCTGCCAAAACCTCTCCTAAGCCCCTAATTAGCACATTATTTTATGTGGTGCTGTAATAGTCAATGTTTTAATATAAATATATATGTCTACCTTTGCAGAATTTATCAACAATTATAATGATCAGTAGAGTTTAATAAGGAACCCTTGAATCAGAATATTTTAATCGTAAAAGATTGTTTCGAACTTTTCCTGTTCCTAGGGTATTCCTATTGGCTTACTCCTATTACATTACTAGCAAATATCTTATTATCCCTATAAATATATAGGAGATTATATCTATGTACAGTGGGGCTTGTTTACGGTGTTCCACCTTAGACATTTAAAAACTATTGCGGTTGACATGATTGATTATGTGTAAGAAGGGAAGTTGCAAGTTCGTTGTGTTCGAAGTAATGTTTGTGTAACTGGAACATCGCGAATGAAGGCGACTGTACATATTGATTACCCATAAATATTTTAAAATAATTAATCGAAATATATAGCGGCTTTAAATGTTTACTTGGTGTTTACTTTAATTATAATAGTCTCAAATGTTGTAATAAATGTGTAGTCAATAATTTGAAACATTACATGTTATTGAATTATCTGACCATTGTTCTTTGATTTGTGAAGTTTTTTTAGGTAATTATTGTTTAATAATCAGTACATTCTATCAGTATTCTTATTGGAAGTGTTTCATTGGTTTGTGTGTGAGTAAAAATGTAATAGTTTATTGAATAATTCGGAATTATTTATAACTTCAACTATGAAGTGATCTCGGCGTATTGATAGTATTGTTTACTACCCGTGCAGGATAACATGAGAACTAAGTGCAATGACGTTACAATGCTTACCTGCATTGTACATTAAAGTATGCGATTTAGAAACAAAGGCATAATAATGTTGACACATAAGTTACTTTGTTGTGCATTTGTAGTAAATATTTTGCATTGACCTTATGTTAGATTATTATTATATTGTTTAGTTTTTTAAACCCGATTATAATATGCTGTATGCATCTTCTATGTTGTCAGATGGTTGATTTTTCATGTTAAATAAATGTGTGGTTTAAAATAATACTTCTAGATGTAATATTATTGGCCGTTTTCACCAAAAAATGTAAACTTATTTGGCCTATACTTGATGAGAAATATTCGAAATCCTAGCAACCCAACTGCAAAGGCCTAGATGTCTTTTTTCCATGACGATTTATGTATTTTAAATCTATAGCATAAATTATTTGATTGTGAAATTAAAATTAATTAAATATGTGGACTGAAAAGTTACTTTCATAAAAATAATTACGATGCAATGTTTAGTTGAAACGGTCAATAATCTCTCAAAGCATTTATGTCATCTACAGTTGTCTATTGTAAAACGTTCTAGTAAATAAATAAATATTTCAAAATCAGGTTTTTGTTTTTTTTTTGCACCTGTTTATCACACAAAAGTAGATTGTTACAAACTCGTAACTCAAACTAGCTGACTGCTTCAAACGATGTCAGGTTAGGCGCCAATAGACTGTTAGCAATCGAGCATTAAGATAAGTCTAATTCATGTATCACTTTTTAAATGCCTAATCACTTTTGTTGAAACTACACAAAATTGTTTAGCTCAGTATTACCCTCGTTAAACTTTTCTTTACCATTGCATTGCAATATTTCATCATCATCATCATCAGAGGCACAACAGCCACGGGTGGGCCTGGGCCTGGTCCAGTAAATTCCTCCATATAGGTCTATCTAGGGCTTTTTGTTTCCGGCCCTTAATGCCGACATTTTTAAGGTCTCATTCGACATCATCTTGCCATCTTAGTTTCGGCCTCCCGCGTGATCTACGTCCCTCTGTTTGGCTCTCTAATAGGAGCTTGGGAATTCTGCAGTTACTCATCCTCGCTACATGTCCTGCCCAGCGTAGTTGACCAATTTTGATGGTCTTTGACAACATTGACAATTGCAATATTTAGGTGTTCTTTTTTTAAAATACATACAGGGGTCAGTTCATATCATCGATAGTTATTCTGTTAATAATAATGCTTAATTTAGAATCTTACTAATATGAATGCTAAAGTTTAGATGGATGTTTTTTAGAGTTTGTAACCTAAACTGCTGAACGGATCTGAATGAAATTTGGCATTAGTAGAACACGTAGGCTACTTACTTTTATTTTCACGCGGACAGAGTCGCTAGCGAAAGCTAATAGGATATAATATCGTGTCCATTATTTTGTGTCAACATTAAACGTAAAGATCGTCCTTGATTTTTCTAATCAATAAGCCAATAATATTTTTATCTACTGAAAGGTATAAATTCTTATATCCAGTTATCAGCTATTGTAAGATAATCGTTGGTTATCTTTTATACATGTATGGGTCAATAATACATCCTTTAAAAAAAGTAGTAAACGATGTCACGAGAATTTCCAAACCGACTCGCGTTTAAGGTTGTTGATAACATCCTATTGAGGGACGGTTAAAAGAGAATCCTAATTTAACTATAGCTTGATAAAACAAAACATCAAGATGATTTTCAATAAAACTAATCTAGGGGCGATCGTGGTGAAATGCTGGTATATAAATGATTAAAAAAACAGTTCTCGAGCTAGTTGCTAAACCCAATAATTATCAGTTGGCAAAGTTTCTATTTCCTAGTTATATTTAACACACATTTGTCTCGTTAAATTTAGTTCATTTAGGTACCCTTTACTTCATTAATTGTGAAACTGCAACTCAAAATGCAAGCTTGATTAGCCAATCCTTGAACTAATCGTTGATACTAATTAAATTTGTTTAGTGATATTACCACATTTTATTTATTAATCTTCTTGAGGAGATAAAAACCATCTTGATTTTAAATAAAGTCAATGCTTCGTCGATTGTTATTTTTATCATAAATACTAACATCGTATTTTATCACAAAGGTTCTGTATATTTATTAAATATTCACACAATAGCTTACGTCCGAAACTGAAACAAAAGTAAGTAAGTAAAAAACAAAAGTAAGTAGCCTATGTATGTTCCAGACTATCCCCTACATCTATGCAAAATTACATAGAGATCCGTTGAGCAGTTTATGTTATAAACTCTAACAAACATCGATCCATCCATCTAAATTTTAGCAATTATAATATCACTAATTAGTTATTTATAATTAACAAATAAATAGCAATAAATGAAGTGGATTTTACGTTACATTCTAATTAAGTGAAATGGCAATAAATCATTGTTTTGTTCATCACGTCATCTAATAGTGCAAAATTAATAATACTGACCACTTCCCCTCCATCAAATAAGGTGCTATATGAATATAGGTGTACAGACGGTTGGGGCGCGAATGTCCCCTCACAGTGGAAGGGTGGAGACTACGGTCCGTTAGACGACTTTGGTGCAAAACACATGACATTGAATATTAATCTTTAATATTTCTTCATTATAAAACCTTCAAATTTTAGCTTTTTTGCCATAGTATCCTGGTACATTTTTGTTTTTTTAAATGTTAATAGGTAATAATTTTCTTCTAAGAATTAGTATGGACACTACTTACCTACTTCTTTTTATATTTCGTCGTAGGTATTACTACCAATTACAAATTCAAAATGATTGTATAACTGCATATCCGACGTGTAACCCTAATTAATCAATAATTTTATCAAAGGACGGTACACAATACAATTATCGCGTCTTAATCGTTCTTTATACATGTGCTCTTATATCGTGTAAAACATTGCAATTTTTATTTTAATAAAAACGAAAAGATGTGTGGGATAATCTGTGGTGTAACAACCACAATAATAGGTGTGGTTTTGGTGGTTGTTAGTACAGTACTTACGTTTGTATTCGTACCTGGTGTGATTGAAGATTTAATCATAAATGTAAGTAGGTACAAATTACATAACCTGACAACAGCGACTCCATCCACAGCGAATTAATAAAAACGGTTTAGTAGCCTATGCATTCTCCCAATATGCTCTGCATCTACGACAAGTTTCATGAAGAAATATGTTGCATTAAAAATATTAGTATACGTCCATAGATTAGTTAGTATTAAGGTTACCTTTTCTGGCATATTCTACATACAAAAATATTAAAGAGTTAAATTCTTTCAACGACTCATAACAATTTTAACTATATGTTATATGGTTTATGTATTTTTTAAATCGCATACGCTTGTGACTTAGTATCCTGCTAGCTACCCTATTCAGCCTAGACCCCTCACGTACACTAGGCGTCCGAAACACGAGTGACACGTGCATAGCCCTATCACATATCAGCAGTATTAAATTGACAAGCACAGTGATTGGACAAAGGTACTGTCTGCCGAATAACTCTTCACGTTCCCAGCCGACTCGAATGCGCAAATTAAATTTTCATTATACAGCATCCGAATATTTGATTTAGTAACATTCATAGAGGGGAGGTTACCTTTGGTTCATCAAATCAAATTAGCTATTCCAATATACGATTTAGGTTCAAAGCATCGAAATATGCAAGGATTAATATCGTAGTGCGCTTTGGTATTGAGTTCGTGAGTACCCTAGGTAGTACTGAGTGTTTAGTGAAGCACAATCTTATTTAATAACTTTTATAGATATACCCTTTTGTAACTTAAAACCTAATACATGAACTATGACGATTTGATTTCAACTAATTATAAATTGTCAGGAATTCATTAAAAAGGTGTCGTAAATTTATCATTAATTTCATGTTATTGTGTTAACAATATTATCTAATAGTAGAATTTCAGTTTAATATTGAAGAAGCTGGACTTTCCTGTGTAAATATCGGGAGTTTAAGAAATGAACTGAAATCTCGAGTAGAGTGTACTTGAGAGCTCTGGCGTTGCAGTAACTTAATCCTGGCAGTCTTTGTGACGAAACAATTCCAATAATACGAAAGTCCAATAGCGAGCGCACACCGTGAAAGCCTTTATACTTGATTTATTTCAAGAATAGAATAGACTGAAAGCTTAGAGTAGCCGACCTAACTAAAAAATTGCAAAATCAACTTACTTTCACCTTACGAAAACTATTTTTCAAATTTTCATTACATTCTATATTTTCTTGTTTGATAATAGTTACATAGTAAAATCTATTTATAATAACAAATTACTAATTTTTTAAATAATTACACAGTTTTACTACGCGTCAGATTGTTTAGTTGTTAATTATTTTTTCTTATGATTTCAGGAGGTAGTCCTTTTAGATGACACCGAGCAGATGGAAAGATTTCAAGAAATACCTTTTCCTTTAAACTTCACTGTCAGATTCTTTAACATATCGAATAGAGACGAAGTTCTTGCAGGCGGAGTACCTGACTTGATAGAGGTTGGACCTTACGTATACAAGTGAGTTTATGTCAAACACGAGATGTCACCGAAAATTACGTTAGCGCAGAACATTCCCGTGTGCATCGACCTTTAACAGCTACCTTCTAGTCAAAGGCCCGTCCAAATCGGTCCACCCGTTCTAGAGATAGCGGTCCGGTTAGCTATTTTTAAAGCGCGGAATAAAAAAAAATGTATGCCCGTCCATGTCAGCTACCATCCAGTGAAAGTCCCGTCGTAATCGGCTCAGCCGCTTCGGAGATTATCCGGAACAGACAATTTTTTTTTTAAATCCGATTCTCGTTATTAGCAACGCAAATACACCATCTTCCCGAAATCTGGAAATTTTATTTTGATATTACAGACACTACAATTTTATTATAGTCGTGTATAGATAAAGTTAACCACTGGCGAAACATTTTCTTAAAACATGTTATACAATATATAAAATGTTTCTGTGAAAGCCCACGGTAAAGATGACGTGAGAGAGAAAGGAGCGACTACTAAGGTGACTGTTGATAGAAAAGCGTGCAAGTAAACATTTTAAGCCGACCCTTGATAAGTATGAACAGGGAAATGGTGAAAACTATTTGTTATTTTTATTACACTGATTTTTGTAATACTCATATCGACTTTAAGAGCGGGAATACATATGTAAGTGCCAATTCTGGCACGTGTAAGTAAAATGGACTAGTACCTGACAAGCCAGTTACTGGCGCCATGCGTAAGCATATGCCAGTAAAATGTTCACTAGATCGTAAGCCAGCTGCAGACATGTCTATAAACTTTTTTAAAATACTGTTCATTAAAGCACGAGTGAACATCTCTATACCTAAATTTAATTATAAACTAATCAATTATAAAGAAAATAGGACTAGCATACAAATTTTCAGTATTAATTATTGATCAGAAATAAACTTCAAAATAAGAACAACACAATATCATAAACACATTATAAACAGTTAACACACACAATATCAAATAACAAACCAAGGTCGGGCTCAATAAAATTCTATTAAAGCATAAATACGTAGATAATTAACCCTTTAACATGATAGTGGGGTTGTTATTAGCAAGGGAAGTTAGCTTCATCGCACAATTACCCAATGAACAGGACATTTCACTTGAGCGTTCATTATAACACCAATCTGAACATTTGACTTTCAAATTACCCGCCTCTAATAACACGACATGACACTCAATTCTTTCGGAAGTCGCAGAGATAAATATACAAATACTTAATGATTTCTTTTTATGTAGACATGATAAAATTCACAACTTAATTATGGTGACTTATGACAAAAATGAAGGAAAATGTTAGGGTTTATAAAACCTTGTAGCGGTCCGATAAGCCACGAACATGATGGTTATTTTGGCGTTCATGTTTTCATTTTGATTACAGATCGTATCAATCAAGAGTGGTGGAGAGTAAGGAGGATGACACGATCAGTTACCGTGCTCTAGAGAGACTGGAATTCGACGCTGAAAGTTCCTACCCTTACACAGAGGATGATATAGTAACAATCGTTAATGTACCTTATCATGTAAGATGTACTTTACAATTTTTTTTTAACTTTATTTTTATTAATCTTTTAAGTTATCCTAATCAATTCGATCAAGAACAAGTAAATAAAATCGCTTTTGTTTTAACGTGAATTAAAAAATATCTTATTTTCTGAGAGATAGATAGGAGGTAGATTACTCGATGTTTTACGAAAAATTTAAAAATAAACATATCCGTGGAAAATTCTAGGATTTCCAAAACATAAGTAAATTGAAATTGTGTCCTTCGTTTTTGACGAAATTAATTGTTAATCACTACATACAAAGGAACATTACAAAATAAATCGTTACATAGTAACATTTGCGGAAACAACGGACAGAACGTATTTAATACCAAACAAAATGGAACGTAAAACCAACGTCCAACTTCGCATTTCCTATTTCACTTACTGAAAGTTGTTTAAATAACAAACTTCTAACTCTAATCCTTTGCACACTTTTAGCTTTAAATTAAATACTCTACATTGAACCTTTTGTTCATGTTATAGAATACAATGTGTTATTTATAATTGCGGAACGATTTAAAATATGCATTCTGTAATAAACATGCAACAAGAATGTATGCAATAGTAGTAATTTCTATCGTTGAAATCAATTCACTTTATTTTTAATTGCTTGCCTCAACCGCGTCACTGATTTTCGAGTATTCTTCCCCAGAGTTGGTATTATTTCTGTTTGAAATTAAATTCAATTGGTGCTCGAATGCTCCAGCTCGAGCGCTGCTTAAATTCGGTTGTAAATCTCAGTGTTGTGATCATATCATATTTAATAAAACTCGTGAACGCATCCACTCGTTTATGTTAAACCTATCTATGCCTTGCTAAGGGTGGAAATTCATCCCCTCATCCCCCTACCCCCACCGCGATTGTGGCGTGTCCGAGGCCGAGACTGCAGAGTCGAGGGGGGTTTGACGTGCGTCTCTTGTTATAGCGGAAGCGGATATTAGAGGAAGTGTGAAATGCAAATAACCGATCATAATTCCACACTTGATTTGTTTATATTCAATTTGTATTAACACAGATGAACACTCTTTTTTGTTTTGTTTAGGAATTTGTTGATCACTTATATTAGTGCACTAGTGTAGTTTTCAATTTGGAAGTTCAGAAACAGTTTGATTTCTTGGAATTCCCTAACTGGTAAATTAATTTGCTTGCTATATTTATTTTTGAGGGTGGTCTAAAAATTATGGTTTAATAGTTTGAATAATTTATTACTTAAATGGAAAAATCTAAAGTAAAATTTATTCTTTATGGCCCACACGTAACTTTGAATGCGGCCCCACACACTTCTAAAGGCGCACTCACACTTGCTTAACTACCTTTGTTATTTATTTTATCTGTTTTTATTTATTTTATACTGAAGCATTGTAAATAAGTCTGTAGAAATAATATGTTTTTTTTTTCGACTATTCAATTTACTTAAGTTGAGTTTTAATTTTTTAACTTTACCGATTGTTATAAATTGCTTCGCAATCGGTAAGTGCTAGTTCCAATGTTAAAAATGCGAATAATAATTAAATTAAAGTGCTTGTTTTGTGTTTGCAAAGCGATTACTAAAAAAAAAATAAGCTTGCGCCACCAAATCGTGGATTTGTCACCCCGCTCTGTCCCTACGTGAGAATAAAAAGTTTCATCCGTTCCACCTTTTAGTCCCATCACCAATAAGGTGACAGACAGAACCGTTATGAAATACAATAAGTTCTAACCGTCCCCTCGTTGCAATAGGTGCAACAGATGAAACTTTTTATACTCAATTGTTACCACATGGGGACAGAGCGGGGTGACGACTGCGAATAACGCAAATTCGATTAGTATGCGAAATAATCATGAGTTTTCACTGCTGTAACACTAGTACAAAAATGTCATCCCTCTCTTTCCTTTCGTAACAACAGAGATAGCAATAAGTTTATATGTAGATGTTCCACCAGTGAAAACTGCGGCTTTATAAGTTACGTTTCTATAAAACATTTTCGTTATCTTCTATGTTTATCAAATAATCGCTTGACTATTGCGAAATCGTATTAATTTTAATTTATCAAATTTAATCTAATAAATGTACCTAATTTAATTAAAAAAAATCATTGGAAAATTAAATGCACTTAAATTTGATACTCATATACCTACACATACTAAGATATTATATGTAAAAATAACCACTTTCACCGGTGGACTTACTTTCGGCATTTTTATTGAAACTGCAAACTACGGTTCGTGTATGCAAACTTTAAATACCGATCGCCCAATAACTAAAGCGCTGTTTGCTTGAAGCAGTCCGTGTATTGTGGCTCTTAACAATTGTTCATTCAAGAGCAATGCTATCGGAAAGGACAATTGCAGCGCAACAATGAACGACGTGTAAACAATGATTCGCAATCGTGTGCACCAGCCTTATGAATATCAAGAGCTTGACTGATGAATATCAACTCATGCCCGAGATATTTAAAATAAATTTCAACTGTATTGTACGTAGTTCTTCCATAAAAGTAAAATTGATTTTCAATATAGTTACATCACATGATGTCAGCAATTCCCAATTCTCTATACACATAGGGTTTTCTTATCCACGTTCTGGCACTGCATTTGCACCTTGTCAAGAATGCATTTCGCTGGTAGTCTTTCTACAGATTGTTAGCTATAAGATGCCACTATATCACCGCCTAAGTTCAACTAAAATCAGCCCCTCTGGCCACGACATGCCCACCTCCATATGAGCTTCGTAATTCGTCGTCCGACATCGATCACTCGAAGTTCGACATCTATATCACACTTATATTAAAAATAATGATTTGTATTTTTGTATGAAACGAAAAATCTCAAAACCAACTGGACCAAACCCAAATCCAAAAATTCTTTTGCCATAAGAAATATAAGGTACTCGTAGTGCTTTAATTCCGTTTTAATTTGAGTAAGTCTAAGCATCATAATATAAATAGAAAAAACTTAATTTATAGTTCCGAGAGCTATTGAGATTTTTCCCAACTTGAAGGTTTAAAATTCGATCATCTCAACAAGGTATAAAAAATTATTCTATTTTGAATTTTATCGCTGAATGAGGATGATTATTCGATTATTGGATTCGCCGTATTCGATTTAACCACTTAGTTGAGGTCTACAGTGATCTGGTTTAATTCCATAATATTTTCCATTACCTCGACTTGACATATATTTAATGAGGATTTTAAAAGAGCAATTTAAATTAAATACAGCGAGAAAACTTTTCATCATATTGCGAGCGTGGTCTCACTGCTTCGTAGCTGTATTGACGTGTCACTATCCCGTGTGACCTATTTTACTTATACATACATCTATGTCAACGACGCACTGCAACATATTCGTTATAAAAGTCCAGTTTCTAGCGTATTTGCTCTCGCACTTGTTAATACTACTCTAACAATACAAGAAAAAAAATTGAATATAACATTAGGCTGCGCTAATTATTGTTAAATACAACATGATAATTATTTTAATTAAACTTGCTTGTCCTTGGTTAATGGTATGCGTTTCTATTTCTAATCCATTTATTTCAACGATGTCTGTTAATCCTGTGCAGATATGTTATAACAAACATCCGTAAAGGTAGTAAAATCATACGTACCCTTTTCATGACCGGAACATTTGCCAATTGGTAGGTCAGCTAAATTAACTCTATAAAACATAATCTCAAGAAACTTGTTATTAGTAATTTTCATACTGTTTTTTTATCAATCATCATCATCACCAGTTCACTATATGTCCCCACCGAAGGACTCAGAGCCTACCTTAAGTTAGCGTACTAGACCACAGTCAACCACGCTGACCCAGTGCGGGTTGATTGACTTCACACATATCTTTAAATTTCTTCGCCGATATGTGCAGATTACATCACGATGTTTTCCTATGAGTAAATTATTTACACATTAAATTCGAAAATCACATTAGCACATAGCGGGATTAAACCCAGGACCTGTAGATTACAAGTCAAGAGCTCAAATCCCTGAGCCACTGACGCTGTCTTACACATTTTCATCAAAGTGCATTGCTAATTACTTTTTGATAGGAATACGGTAGTGTATCGGGGTCAGCACGATCGTCCAGTTATTACATACCCACAATTGTGATTGCATTCGTCTGTAGTGGGACGCTTCCAACCACAATAGGTCGCTTCCGTTCCGCCGCAGAAAATAGATAACCCATTCGTAAACTGTAATCAACTAACCTAACATCACAAATAAGAAAAGACAATCAGCGTTGTTATGATGATGTAATATGAAATAAATTGTCATCCATTCTAGTTTTCTTTCAAAAATAGAAACAAGGATTTATTTTTAAACTGATTCGATAATGAAAACCCAAGGCCAGCTTTTACGCTTCTTAATTTTGTTGACAACATCATGTCACGAAAGACTTTATCACGCAATATTCTGAATGTAATTACTTAATCTATTTCAATTACTGGGATCTTAAGAACATGTAGTTACATGCCTTGTTACATTTACTGCTTTAATGATTGACACGATGCCGCGACAATTACTATTGTTCCATCTTTTTATGAAGAAAACTGTGATATTTATTACATAACGGAGTTAATATATGTTCATTAATTACTTTGATACACCGCTTTACCGCAAATTAAGTTGTATTTTGAAGCAAAGAAAAGCTAAGTCAAAGAGGGGGTTGCCTCAAAATGCGCGGAGTAACAGGCACCGCCTTTTAATAAAGTAAAACTCCGTACCTCCTTTGACACCGCTTCACGTAAATGCACTTTAGCTTAGGCGAACTTGCACTTACAATATTGTGTTAACAAAGTACATTGAATAAAAAAAAACATTATTTTGTGTAGTATAAATTAATATAAAACAATTCAGATACCATTGTTCTACCTTTTTATTGTACTTTCATCCACTTTTATATGAAAACGAATGATCATGATCGATATGTCTATAGAAATGTCTTCTACCACAAATTGTAATTTAATTTCGCCCTCACTCCTTTGTGAATTAATT